AAAAATGTTAATCGTGCGTGATAAAACCTAATGACATTTTCAAAGGTGTTAGGATTAGGACTGATAAGGCAGTAAATAGGACTGTTCTGACTGATTTGGCCCACAATCCCAGGAGACACGACTGCGTCAGGGGAGTCCTACTCAGACAACATGACCAGTGAGTTTTGACTATTTATTTTCGTGTGTGAGTTTGGACTGAAGTTCTGTTTGAAAAAAAAGTGAAGAAAAAAAATAGTGTGTGCGTTTGGGCTGAAGCTTTGTCTGGATGAATGTTTTCGTGTGTAAGTTAGGGCTGAAGTTTTGTTTAAGATGAAAAAAAAGTCGTGGGCTGTAGTTCTGTTTGAGATGATTGGGCTGAAGTTTTGTTTGAGAAGAAAAAATCGTGTGTGAGTTTGGGATGAAGTTTGTGTGTTTTAAGCTGACGTTTGTTTGAGAGAAGCTTTTCGTGTATGTTTTGTTTGAGAGAATATATCTGGAAACATATAGAGTTTTGATGAAAAAGTGTGTAATTGTTAGAATTACTAGAATTAGAACCAAAATTCCCCTATTTTATATATAATAACGAAGAGTCCTTTACGGGCGTCAGAATACTCTTGGGTGAAAGTCAATTCCATAGGTTCATCAAGCTAAGCTGAAGTGGAGCTACATGGTTACATGCACCTTGTTTCTTTTCTCGTTTATATTACTTTGTTTCTGTTGTCGTTTATATTAGTAGATCTGTTAAATTTGTTTGGACTGTATTATTTCATCAGTTTTTCTTCGCGCAGTTTGATGAAGATAACAAGCAGAATACACTAAGTTTTCCTCTTGAGTAATCTCGGCTAAAGTAACATCCACAAGCAGAAAAATACGTGCGAGTTCTATTAAACACCGGAGTCAATGAATATCAACTTAATGAAGAAATATGTGGAAACTAATTGGATATATTGTGCCGGGCTAAACATTCAGTAATATAAAGAACGAGCTCAAGGCTGAGGAAAGGGTTACATAGATAGAAAAAAGGTCCAACGACTTATTCAAAGAGCGACTGATTTGTGTTTGCATGTGCGTTCAAAAAGGACATCCGAAAAACCGGGTTTAAGGTGTCCCATGGCGGAAGAGCCGAAAGAACACCGTTAGCATAGATGAAGAGACACCATTAGAAGGTCCGGTTAGGCATCGTTGGGGGACCGACGCGCCACCATTGGAGGAGTCGAAGTGGCACGTCACGCGCTGTAAATGCGGATTAAGTATAGAGATCTGGCCATAAAGTCAGTTCTTATCTTGAGGAAAAGGGGAGTAAAGGTCTTCTACATCTTAAGATTCATTACCTACAAATGTTAAAAACAGACTGCGGGGGAATATGCCACTAACTGTTAATAATGAACTTGGTGTCTCACAAGAGGAACTATGAGGCAAATCTACACATGCATGAAATGAATACAGATTACGTGTGAATAAGTTTAGAATATGTATGAATATAAACTCTTCTCTCGCATCCCTATTCCTTATTTGTATTTCCTATGAAATTATGAGAGAAAATTCACTTATCAAAATTACATGGCATTTTTCACACCGTTTATAATCATGGCATTCATAAGGAGTGAAATAAAACACGACTTCCCGAAGCCAAATCTTATCTCCTTTTTTATTGCTCACATTCTTATCTGGAAACAAAATGTCCTTTTTATTGCGGGTTTTACGTGTGCTTTATGTACTGTCGTTGGTCTCTTTTCTTTCTTTCATTCTTTCTCTTTATTTTCCTTCTGCCTCTCTTTTTTTCTTATTTCTTCCTTTCATTTATTTCTAGTCTTTTCATCTTTTTCTATTCCTTGCCCGCCCTTTTCTTTGTTTCTATCTCTATTGTCTCTCTGTCTGTCTGCCTGCTTGTCTGTCTCTCTCTCCCTCCCTCTCTCTCTCTCTCTCTCTCTCTCTCTCTCTCTCTCTCTCTCTCTCTCTCTCTCTCTCTCTCTCTCTCTCTCTCTCTCTTTCTCTCTCTCTTACTCTATTCTTGTGTGACCTTTTTGTCCGGAAAGGACCTTTTCCCCTCGATTTTCCCCCCTTTATTTCTTTCGTTCCAGAATGTTCTGTTGTTTCTCGCCGCTGTGATCATTTCCGTTCCATTTTGACCCTCTCTCGTTCCTCATCGACCTCCTCCCGTTCCACCCCCCCCCTCTCTCACTTTAACCTCTCCTCAGAAATAGCGTGGGTGGTGACGTGCCTCGTCGTCTGGGCGGGGCTTGGCCAAGTGGCAATGGGCGTGAGGCTGCAAAATGGGCGTTATGAGGATGTAGTGTTGGCTGTGGACCCAGGCATGGGCGCTGACGTCATCACGATAAACGATCTGGAAAATAATCTTAAGGTATGTAGTGATAATGATTGGTAAAAATACGTCACGTGACCGATTAGTGAATGATTACATGGTTCTGTTTGGGAAAGTACGTCCCGCTGCTGATTAGTTAATAAAATTATGGTACTGATTGGTGAAGGTACGTCACACTACTGATTAGTGAATGAAGTC